GTAGATTAGACCTTTTGTCTGAGTTCATTCAGGTTAAACCAGGCAATTGGTGTTATTTTTTTTATCATCACTTTGATGTCTCCATGTAGCTGTGTGGAACAGCTCACTTTATTTGACTCTAATAGGCTTTTAATCCAACTGATTTGGGCATCAATTCTTAAAGTCAGACGCAGATGTTACAGTGGTACAGTAGATAATCTGAAGCCGTATGATCCCAGGTCATTGAGTTCCCTGTCTCTCCTCTTTGGACCTTCCCTTTCAGCAAGAGCGATCCAGTCCCATCCAGGTCGACTCGTGACATGTTGGCATACGCATCGTGACTCTCCTCGCCTCCTCGTTATCAAGTCCCATTTGATGTCAAGAAAAGACCTTTCTTTGACTTCTCCATCCCTGCTGTCAGTGAGATGTGTCCATGTGGAGTTGTGATGTGGAGGGCAAGTGAAGGAGCAGTCGATTCCCATACATTAGCTTGGCGCGGTGCTTGGTAGTGAACCTGAGTCTGCAGATTGTTCCCAAGCCAGAAACTCCAGGACCCTCCAGCTACGAGCAGATCAAGGGTGGAAAAGAAAGTTGATTTTAATCCCCAAGGGGATTAAGAACCCCATGAGTGATTAAATGAGACTTCTGTCTCAAAAAGGACAAATTACTGTACCACCTCAGAGTTGGGAACCGTTTTTACAGTGGTCTGCAGAACAAAGTAGATTATACGTATCTCCATTTCACTGATTATTAACCACCTTGAGATCACAGGGGAGATCACATTTTTCTGCTACTTAGTCCTGGAGGTCAATAGAAATGGATTTTGTCTGATGTTGGTCATACCTCACCTATCTTTTCTCAGGAAATACCTTGAAACATACATTACCATTAAGTTAGAAACGGAGAAAATAAATGCACATGGGTTCTCTTTAAAAGAGCTCCAACTAGGTGCAAAAAAAGAACTAAACCTTCTGCAAAAGAGTATCTTGACACATACGTACACTACTACATATTCTAAAGGAAGTGCAATAACTTAGAGGTTACCTTTAAACAGACCTTATCACATGTGCATAACAGTACTTTAACCATACATTATCACATTGTTTTAGTTATTACAGAGTACTTTAAAAATAGTTTAGCAAGTAGTTGTAAAGTAAGAAAATGTGTGCAAAAAAAAGATCTTTCCACTTTATGAAGGAAGCAAACATGCACTCAAAGGTACATTAGACCAGAACTTACCAAGAAAACAAAACCAGAAGGGTACCGTAAAATAAAACACAGCATGTGTAAGGGAGGAAAACAGGTGCTGAGAGATTAAACCTGGACAACAATGTGTTAAAAGTTAAGAAATCAAATGCTTAAGGGAACCATGTGATATCTGTATGAGTTGCCAAAGGGCCAAAATGCAACCAGAAAGGATGGGAATACTGTAAGTGGAAGATGTTAATCGGATGCATTTGCTGATATGTTGCAACCATTACTGTCTGTTTCAGGGGAAAAAAAGTGTTGTTGGGGGCATTTTTTTGCCTTAATTGGATAGGACAGCTGAGGAGAGACAGGACACGTTGGGAGGAGAGAGAGGGGGATGACATGCAGAAAATGACGGAGGTTGGTTTTGAAACTACAGCCTCGGCAATGAGGACTATAGTCTCTGTACATGGGGCATGCAACATAACCGCTAAGCTATCCAGCGCACCCAAGGAAACGATTCCTAAACTTTTTTGTACTTATTTGTTAGTTAGGTGGTCAAAGATATGAAACAGGGGTTTAGGTCTAAGAGAGTCCACCAGAATCCACTTCGAGGTTGACAAAAGTTACTGAAGTTGTAGACGGAGACAAATACTGGTCTGAACTTTCAACATGCTTTTTACACACAAAACCATCCACATCAAACCTTTCTTTATGATTTTTCTGTTGTGTGAGAACATCACATTGCTTCTTATAGAGACACACAAACCTCTGCAATGGATGAACTCTAAACTGAAGTGTAATCGCATTACAGCTGGTTGATTTGTTCACACCTATGAGAGGCCTCACTGCTGATGTATTTATCATACAGTGAGTGATATTGAGAACCCATGCTTACCAGGCAATAAGGTTTCACCATAGACACTCGTGGGGCCTCTCTCTTGCATAAATACACACAAAAAAACACTCTCTCTCTCTCTGTCTCACTCTCACACACACACACACACACACAACTGAAACATGCTGTTAATCACCACTGTCTGTGCATCATCAGCACTCTGCAGAGCTTCAGAGGAAACAGATCTTTGTTTACTGATCGGGAAACAGGAGGGAAGGAGGCTCGGGAAACGGAACTGTTCATGAGAAAATATATTAAAAAACAGATTGAGTTAACCCTGTGGGGACTGAAGAGCGGCTCATTTGCTCTATGTGAGACAAGACCCCGACACTAGCATTGATTGTCACTGGATGTTTGATGATCATGTGAGACCTGCAGCAGCAAGAAGTAAAATTCATAGATGATATGATAAGCTGAAGTCACCTAATTGCACTCTGCAATTAGTAAAGAAAATGTTTGGGGAGAGGGGAATGCAAGTATTAAGACTAAGATGAATAATCAGGCATAACAAGCAGCTCTGTCTCAAAGAGTGTTTTAAAGTGAGAGAGGACTCCCCCTGTCTCCTTTTTTGAATGGTACTATAACAGCTCAGCGACCCAGAATATAGTAGAAGAATAACTGCATAAATCTTATGAACGACGTGTGGATTGTTCTTTGTGCAGCTGGATAGATTTTAAATTAGGATGTACAGTTTTTCATGGCAGTGTACAAGAGTTTCTTTCAGATTCCACAGATTTATTTGGCATCTTGACATGGACATTTACCAGACTTGACGTCAGAAGTCGATTTGCTCGCTTAGCCGATAGATGGCTTTTATTGGAGCACTTTGCCCCGATCACTCGCGGTGGATGTGTAATGTGTTAAAACACACACACATAAAAAATCAGGCATTTGAGGCTGTGACATGCCTGCTCACAGAACAAGTCTTCTGAATCCCTGCGGTACTGGTGGGTGATGATGCTACAATTAAGCCAATCAAAAAACTGGAGTACAGACCTCTTAGAGAGTCTGTTTAATATGAATCATGCAGAAAGCCAATTTGTCCAATATTTGCATGAAAGAGAAACTAAAAGGCACTGACAGAATTTTTAAAAAGTCTAAATGTCAAGTGTTTGATAAGTAGAATCAGCTGCAGTAACACCTAGCAGTAAGTAACCCTCTACAGAGCAACACAGTGACTCTGCCCACTGATCACTGAAGCGTCTGAACCTCAGTCGTCTCTTCATTAAAAATAGCTCTGGAATAAAAACACCTTATGGCATCAGCGTTTAAAAACTCAAGGACTCCAGGGTGTCTTTGTTCATGCATTAGATTAAAACAAGCTTCACCTCCCTTTACCCTGAACCTGTTCCAGTGAACAGCTGTAACACTGCAGCCTTTGGCTACAATAAATCACGTCATCATTTCGAGCTTCATTTGCGTTTTCAATTTGAATTCTTTCTGTAGCATCATGAGCTGTCTCCACATGTTTACTGATCAGAAATGTAACGCTATAAGCACTTTTTTGTGTGTGCAGTCAGACCTCTACTGAGTCCTGCCACGTTTTGAGTTCAGGATTAACTGAGCTGTAGAACCTCTCTGTGTGTTTATATTCGGGGATGTTTCACTTATTTTCCTGTGGATTAAACAGAAACTTAAACTCAGACTGGTCGACTAGTCTAAAGGTAAGAAAACACTAAGAGATTGCAGTTAAAAAAAGTTTTTAAATGCCAATGCTGCTTCTGTTTAGGCCTATTTATGCCGTATTTGAATGCACAGTCTATCCTCCGTCCTGGTCAAAGTTAGACAGTCATGATTGTATGCTATGTGTGGTGTGGTGATGTATTGAGTCTTCATATGCTGTGCAGTGTGTATCATTGTGCACTGCTGGTTCCTACTCATTATTGTATGTTATATTCTAAAATCAACTGGACTGCTATTTTGCTCAGACATTTTTTTAAATACTTTATTAATCCCTGAGGGAAATTCTGTTTTTTTACACTCAGTTATTTAGAGAATCTCACAAATGCACTAACAGGACCTGTGGACATGCATTAGTGGAGAGATCTTCATTTATAAAGCTGGGAATGCTTCCCGACTACCTTTCCTCTCTTTTAATCTTGAAGGATGGAATCCACAGCCCTCGTTCGATGGACTTTTTAGAATTTGTCGTTCCCAATTTCAGTCCAAACTGAGTTGTGAAAGAAAGCTTTTAGGTTTTCTGCATCTTTCGCCTGAGCTATCCAGCAGTATGATTTTAATTTTAAAATAAAAAACTTGGTCACCTTGAATGTTTTTAAATCCTTGGTGAAAAGTCTTAAATGCAAACTTTCTATATGCCTCTGATTTAGCTGATGATTTTATTGTTCTTATTATGTAATGTGTACTTTATGAGTTAGGGTTGTTCTTGTTGTTTAAACTGTGTGTTGCTGCTATTTTTGGCCAGGACCTGGATAGATAAGGGTTAAATAATAAAAAATGGAGTTGTCGGCAGGGCATTTAACTGCAAGGTGATGGTTTAAGATTTCTTCTCTTTGTATGTTTTTGTTGTTGCATTTTTTGCAGCCTTACTCTTGTTAACTTCCTTCAAATCTCTTCCACTTCTAACCAGTCCAAACAACTGTCATACTCATTAATGGTCTGTCTGTACTATTAAAAACCAACAATTCATTGAATAATGTAAAGATTTATCAAAAAAATGTCCAAAGATACTTGCTTTCTTTTATTTTTCCTTAGTTTTTTTGGCATAAAATCAAGCTGCTGACTGTCTCAAGCTGTGCTGTTGTTTTAATTGTATTAAGTGACCTTCAAATATGCTTGCATTGCACCAAATCCCCAGGTTTCAGGTGTGTAATTAGAGGTGTCAGCAATTAATGAAGTGCGTTTGACCGCTGCTGTTTTTCCTACCTCCACTACCTTTCATCCGTCCCTCTCTCTTTTCTAACAGACGGACAGTATGGATAATAAGGCGTTGGAACCGGACTCTGTGAGTCTCCCCATGGAGGAGGCCGTCATGTGTAATGGCAGCAGCCAGCCTCAGTCTCAGCAGGATGCGTCCCTGTTGTCTCACCTGAAGAAGGTCGAGAACCAGATGAGTGAAGCTCAGCGTTTCTCTCACCTGCCCAAACGCTCGGCCGTGGACCTGGAGTTCATCGACCTCTCCTACACCATCCAGGAGGGGCCGTGCTGGAGGAGGAGAGGTAACGTGCATCCATTTATTCTTCAAACTCTCTCAGGGATTCATCCATTTAAGGGTTGCATCACTTTTGCACCTTCTAGACCAGTGCAAACAATGCAACAAAAAAAAAGCCATCTAATTCACATAGTGCACACATAGGGTGAAATGGTAAAAAGGTGAAAGTGGTCTTAAATTAGTTGTGGTATATTGACCGGCTCTGCAGCTTCAGTCGGTCTTATTCATCTACAATCAGCTGTATAACTCCTCTTTGTTTGGCCTTGCAGTGTTTCTGTCCCTTGCAGCTGATTTCAGAGTGAGAAATAACTCCTGTAACTTCCATATGTATGTCTCACTCTCAGTCTGTTTATCACTGCTCTTTGACTGAAGCCTCCAGCACTGAGTTTGAGAACTGATGCTCACACTTACTGCTGCAAACGCTGCTCTGTATCGATCCGTCTTGTGGACATCCTTTCCCAACAGAAAAACAGGGAGCATAAGGAGGAGGAGGGCTGATAGATGTCAACACACCACCTTTTCTATGATCCATCAGTGTCAAATAAATGTTACACAAATCTGTTGAAAATTGCCCAAAGAAAGCATCCTCTATCATAAAGGTAACATTAATAAAGGGCAGGTATGATAGGCAGGGGAGTGTCCAGAGAAGTGGCCAGGGGTGACATGGGCCCCCTTGAAATCTTATTGGACACCCCAGGTGACGCCACAAAGTCCTTGACTACTATTGGCCGTTTGGCTTGCCAGAAGTGGGACTTATGTTGAAATCCACCATTCAGTCTGTGTTGCAACAGGTAGCTCAAAGTTTTCAGTGTGCAGATTTGAATTGTGACTCTGGACGTTCATTACATCGTATGTTGTTTTGAGTCCTTGAAGAATGAAGCTTAGAAGATGTATATGTTGCTATTATCTTTTGTTACTTGCAACCCTGAACAAGTCAATGCCCCCGCCCCCCCCCAGTCCAAAAAGTCTGGACATGCCCCTGATGATAGGAAAATATACAAATGTATTTTGATTCCATGGAGAACTCTAATTGTTCTCCATGTGTGTGAAATACAAACTATATTATGCAAGGTTAAAATAAAGAAGGCATGTCTGAACACTCTGAGCTGTGTGAACTAGCCTCAGCGAAACGTTTTGTCTTGGAAACGTGACAAAATTACGCAGAACATTTTTTTTTCCACATAAATCACATCATAACCTGCAGAGAACTGGCGCTCTCACAAGTCTATACAAATTCAGCGATTGTGTTTTTTATATCTGAACCAAGACGACTGCAGGGGAATGCTTAGCTTGTGGCTGCAAAGAAAACACTTTGTAGGCAGGAGACACAAATATTTTTCAAAGAGGTGAAAAAAGTCACTGTGGAAAAAATGAATGAAGAAGCAACTATAGTTATAAGAATATTATGAGGCAAATCTGTCAAAAATTCTGAGTGTTAGTTTTAAAAACTCACAATGTGATTTTGATTTATTCATTAACTTGGTTGGGTGTTGATGGGAGTCAACGGGAGTATTGTTATTCAAATATTGAATAACAAAAATAATGTTACAAGAACAATACTAATAGATACAAAATAAACATATTTTAAACCATTTGAACACATTTGAAACAGAAAATTGACACAAATTTGCACAATTTCATTCAGTAACGTTCAGCATGGACCGCTTAATCAAGAATAGTTACAAGAAACAAGACAAAATGTGTTCTTCGTTGCGTCCTCTTGCTCCATAGTATCCAGGAAATTAATCCAAAAAGACTCTTATCGCAGAAGAAGTCTTTCCCAATCTCCACCTCTAGGGGGAGTTTCAACTGTCTCTGTGCCCATCTAGCTGAGATCTGCTGTTCTATTATTATGACTGTTCAAATGTCTAGCCACAGAAGATTTCACATCATTACTGCGAATGGAACAATTGTCTTCACAAATTTTTGTTTTTAGTTCACGCTTTGTTTTTCCAACATAAAAAAAGAGGTAAGAAGACAAGTTATTCTGCCTCTGGCGTTTATGTTGTCTCCAATCTGAGTCTTTGCAAGCTAACAATGTGCAGGAGTCAGGGAGCACAAAACTACTGGGACCAGAGTTTGTTATTGCCACTGCATTCCATATTAAGTAAATTAATTCTAAATATATTGCTCCAATGTACGTACCTTTTTCACATTGAAGTTTTGAGAGTTTTCACGCAATTTTTATTTGTGATTTTGTGGTTCTAATTTGATTTGAGTGTGCTGATGAAGCACTTTGTTTTGCTGCTTTATCTTTAACTAAGGGGACCACGTTCTCTGAAAATGACGTCCATTAATTTAGGGATTAATTCTCATAACAAATCTATTAAAACATGCTATTGAACACTTAAATCAGCCAGGAAAACAATATATGCCATGTTTTTTATTCCGCATAAATTTGCAGGTTTTTTTCTTGAAAATATGCGTTTGTTTCGATGCTTCTACATATAAGTTTAAATAAATTAAATATGAAAGGACCTCTGCACTCTGTCCATGGTGCTGAAACACATCTCAGAACAGATACTATGAGGTTTATTCCTTTGTGACCCTCAAAACAGAAATTTAAGAGCAACAAAATAAAATGTAATTTCTTTAACACAGTACAGAGACTGCACCTCTCACAGGTTAGAACACAATCGTGGTGAAAGATGATGAAGGTGAGTGCTCAGTGCTAATGCTGTTAGACTGAAGTGCAACATCTGATACTGCACAGAGTCACAGACTGTTCAGAGGTTCTTCTCCTGTTTAACCAGGGCGAAACTTGTAGCTGGTTTTTTCATCATTTGGGATATTGATGGAATGAAAGATGTATATTTCACAGACATTTAACAACAGCTACATAATAATCTTTAAGGGGAACAGACGGGATAAAACCTAAAAGGATAAGATCTTGAAGTAAAACTTTCCTTTCTGTGAAGATAAATCCATTCTGAGTGGTCGATGTTCCTTTTTGTTTTTGCAGGTTTTAAAGCCTTACTGAAGTGTCTGTCTGGAAGGTTCTGCACTCGAGAGCTGATAGGGATCATGGGGCCCTCAGGGGCCGGGAAATCCACGCTAATGAACATCCTGGCCGGATACAGGTGAGAGAGAGAATTCCTTTCAACTTAAATAAAGGTGAATGAACACAGGGATCATTTCTTCCTCTGTGTTTTCAAACAAAGAAGCTCGCTCCTAACTAGAAAACCTAATACAATATAACTTGTCTACTGCTTCCTCAATCTTTTTGTTGTTGTGGGGTTTCTTTTGTTTATATGCAATGCACAAATATTGTGTTGGATTTGAACGTTTCAAACGTGAAACTTAAACCCCATTGAAACGTGAAACCACATTTAGGCAGCACTAGAAAAGCTATTCTTATTTTGCTGTGAATGTTTTTGGTTATAAAAAATCTCATGTTTTTCACATTTTTGTACATGTTAGTGATCTCCCCAAAATATATTTAAAAATGTCGGAGGTTTGGTGGTGCAGTGGGTAGTGCATGCCTGGACACTGTGGTCCTCCAACCAGGTGACCCAGGTTCGAATCCAACCTGTGGCTTCTGTCACGCATATCAATCCCCACTCTCTCTCTCTCCCTGATTTTCATCTCTATCCACTGTCCTATCTCTCCAATAAAGGCACAAAAGCCCAAAAATAAATCTTTAAAAATAAATAAATAAAAGTCGGAGATTAAAAATAGCAGAAAGCCCTTTTAAAGCTTGAAATAACCAGTTTGGCAAACTGTACGCTGTATGTGTGAGTGTGAGTGTCACCTGTTCAGGCTCTCACTTACTCTTTAGTACGTCTAACCCTCCAACCTTTCTGTGACCTTGTGCTGCCTGCAGGGAAACAGGGATGAAAGGTCAGATCCTGGTAAACGGGAAACCCAGGGACCTGAGGAAATTCAGGAAAATGTCCTGCTACATCATGCAAGAAGACATGCTGCTGCCTCACCTCACTGCACGAGAGGCCATGATGGTGAGATGATACAGACAGGATCGTAGCACAGCCAGGGACATTTCAGATGTTCAACTGTTACCCCCTTTACCACCAAAGTGAACCAGGGGTGCTGGTGCAGAGCTGGTTCACCTTTGCAAACTGTCTAAAACTGATTCTTTTCCACAGGCAAGGGGCCCCAAAAGAGCCACGTCCTTACGTCACTGAATGCATTCTTTGGCTGTCAAAACACAAAGAACTGGTGGGCACTGGCTCCTAACTGGCTTGGTGGTAAAAGGGGTATTAGTGATTTGGTTATTGGTTGTTAGGCTTCTTCTTGAATGTGCTTCAGACCTCTACATCTGCCTCTTGTTTCCTCTTTGTGAACAGTGCTTTATGACTTGCTTTGTACATGACTAATTTCTTTCCTCTCTGCTGCAGGTGTCAGCCAACTTAAAACTGGATGAAAGTATGGATGTGAAGAGAAAACTGGTGAGCTAAAAACACACGTTCTGCTTTCTTAACACAGAAAAACTTAGACTTTGAAAATGTTATTTATCCCAGAGGGCGGTTCCACAGTCCACCCAGACCATGCAAACTTTAACAAACACCTGAAGAGACCACACACTGATACACTCGTGTGGTCTCTTCGGGCAGTGACACCCACAAGGGCCAGATGAAAAGCACGGTTTAAGGACAACAGTAATAAATAAGTCAATAAATACATAAACAAGACATTCCTGGAGGCACCGCCGAAGACTACATTAAAGGAATGTACGTACAGTCGCCTGGTGCAGAAGTCTCAGGAATAAACCACTATGTTGTTAAACACAAGAGTAAGGGACACAATAAAGAAAGAGAAGAATACAAGGACATTTAACAGCCTGATGGCAGAGGGAATGAAAGACTTGGAATAGCGGTTTGAAGTATAAAAAAAAAAAACATAACAAAAGTTCTTCCCCTTAAAGTGAGTCTCATGTACTTTTACTGTCATCAAGCTCCAAAAGTTGTTTTTAACGTTTAAACGTTTTTATATATTTTGACAAGTTAGAATTTGAGCATGTCTAAACTCTTGATTTCTACTCTATTAGTGATAGAAATACGACCAATGAAATAATATAACTGTCCTGAGTTTGGCTCCTAGTTTTTTGGTGCTCACCGTTGTAAATTCTCCAATTGTCTTCTACACACCAACGTTTATAAATATCCTCAAAAGGGTTTTCATAGTCAGCTGGGTCCATGCTGGCTGGATCATATCGTCACGTTCAGAGAGAGAGACAGAGGGAAAAGTCTGTGTGCAGTACGAGCTGCAAAATATGTCCATGAGTGTAACACATTAAGACAAACTACACTCAATGTTTCTTTGTAATTACACCTTAAAAATTAGCCATAGTGGCACTGGTGGCGCAGTGGAGCAGTGCATGTATGGAGGCAGTAGTCAGCAGTCCAGCTTCAAATCCAGCTTGTGGCTCTATCCGGCTCTATCCACTGTCCTATCTCTTCATTAAGGCACAAAAGCCCAAAAATAAATCTTAAAAAAAAAGATCCATATTCGTGCTGTAGTTATTCTTTAAGTATTTTATGGTAGTCATTTGTAAATCATAATTTTTTTGTACTGCTTTGGCAACATGGATTGCTGATCTGTCATGCCAATAAAGCTCAATTAAATTGAATTGAATTGAGACAGAGTGAGAGACAGGAGGTCAGTGTGTTTGGTCCCCAAGCAGTCTAAGCCTATAGCAGCATAACTAGGGCCTGCTCCAAGCCTGAGCCTACTCTTAAAGTAGAGAGGAGGTCTGCCTCCTGGACTCTGACTCTTGGATAATTCCTGATAACTGAAGGCTCTCCCTCCCATACTACTGTTGCAGAGTAACCCCAAATAAGCCTCATTCTGCAGGCTTCATGTTTTCATTTCTGAATAAAAAGTTGATGAATTCTCCTTTCTCTCTTTCTCTCTCTCTCTCTCTCTCTCTCTCTCTCTGACTTTGTGTGTCCAGGTGAATGAGATTCTGACTGCGCTAGGCCTCCTGGACTGCGCTCACACTCGTACCAGCTCACTGTCGGGGGGGCAGTGTAAACGTCTGGCCATCGCCCTCGAATTGGTCAACAATCCTCCCGTCATGTTCTTTGACGAGCCCACCAGGTGAGACGAACTGATGCTGACGGACCAATTACTGACAATATAATGTTTAATGTGCAACTCACAATGAATCTTTGGCTTGGAGAAATGTAATAAAGACTATCTACAACTTTTTAAAAACAATATCAACAACAGGGCTCATTTTTATGAAGCTGTACACGTTTGTGTCTACTCCTCAGATCACTTTTTAATTGTATTCCTTCTCTCCCTCTTTCTCTCTCTCTCTCTGCTCAGTGGCTTGGACAGCGCGTCCTGCTACCAGGTGGTCTCACTCATGCAGTCTCTGGCTCTGGGAGGGCGGACCATCATCTGCACCATCCACCAACCCAGCGCTAAACTGTTTGAGATGTTTGACAAGGTGACAGCATCCTGCGACAGACGGTGAAATATGTTACTGTTACTGTCATCATTAACCTGTAATTATTTTGTTCTTCCACAGCTTTACATCCTCAGTCAGGGTCAGTGTATCTACAAAGGCACTGTACCGTACCTCATCCCTTACCTGAAGACTCTGGGCCTCTATTGCCCCACCTACCACAACCCTGCAGACTTCAGTATGTCCTCTTTGATCACTGTGTTTCTGACACTTCAATGGGAATAATCTGGAATGTTCCTTTTGTAATCTGTTTGTCTTCCTGCTTCCGGCTCCGCTTCAGTTATTGAAGTAGCATCAGGAGAGTATGGGGACTTGAACCCGGTGCTGTTTGAGGCGGTCCAAGGAGGACTGTGTGCAATAGAGGAGAAGAAGAACCACAGTGATACCAACGGCCCGTCAGTCTGTACAACAAAGTACCCCATGGTGAGCATTCAGTGATATCAGACAGGAATAGTTAAGGCTGTCAAACTGTATAGCTTCATTGAGGGAATAAAAATAGACAATACCTGTACGGAAGAATAAAATACCTAAATATGTGATCATGAGATGATCTTTTCTCTTTTTTCCCAGGACGGACAAACCGAGAGCCATACTTTTGCAACGAGCACACTTACACAGTTCTGCATCCTCTTCAGGAGAACCTTCATCACTATATGTCGAGACCAGGTGGGTGACTTTTAGTAAAACATACTAAAGCAGTATCACACAAGAGGGAGGGATGTTCTGAATATTTTCATGGCTCTAAATTGGTCGTCAGCACGAGCTCACATGGCCGACTCACAGCCATGATGATGTTCGGTATGACATCAGGACCTCAAGTGTGATATTTGCTTCATACTATAAAACTGTAATAAAAGAAATAAGCAACACCGTTAAATAATTTTTTATTTACAGTTTAACGGTCACATATTATCCTCCTTTTTTATAAGTCTCAGAAGAAAACATGTCTGTGAAGTTTCTTGTTCTAAATCCGCCATGATCCTGTATTTGATCATGTCTATAAACCCCTCTATTTCAGCTCTGCTCAGAACAGGCTGTTTCTGTATCTGTACCTTTAAATGCAAATGAGCTGTGTCTGACCACGCCCCCCTCTGGAAGGGCTTGGGTGGCTCAGGCTTTCTTAGCTCCATGTCCTATTGTTTACGGTGAGAAGGCAGACTCAGAGGGCAGAACACACAATTAGCTGTGGGAGTGTCACCCACCTGGGGGAGGGGTTACTGCCCTTTGTGATGTCATGAAGGGAAAATCTCCAAATGGCCTTTTTAAGCACACATTTTATGAAAAATGGAGCAGGCAAAAGACGGAGAGGATGGACTTTTCTCATAATTGGGGGGTTTGTAGACAGACTAGGGACACATGTTAGTGTAAGAAAAACTAAAATGCATAAAATGTCACTTTTATATCAAATGTCATTTGAGCAAATACTGTATGTCAACAACAATCCTATTTCTTTTGAAACATTAAAGTGAAATGACTTTAAATAAGACAGGAACCTCTTTAGAATAGAAACTGGATGTTATTTTTTCTTTCATTTGTTCTCAGGTTTTGACCCACCTCAGACTGATCTCCCACATCGCCATCGGTGTCTTGATAGGTTTGCTCTATCTGAACATCGGCAACGATGCCAGCAAAGTCTTTAACAACACCGGCTTCCTCTTCTTCTCCATGCTCTTCCTCATGTTCGGAGCGCTCATGCCGACCGTGTTAACCTGTGAGCTGACTCATATTTAAACTCCAGGTCTTATTGATACTGTTCTTATCTAATGTGTTGTGGATGAGTATACACAGATGTGTGTTGTTGGTGTTTTTTTTGCACCATGTGTAGTTCCTCTGGAGATGTCCGTCTTCCTGCGGGAGCATCTGAACTACTGGTACAGCCTGAAAGCGTACTACCTGGCCAAGACGATGGCTGACATCCCGTTCCAGGTGAGCTGGCAGTGTTGGAGTTTGAGGGGTGGGTTTACTCTATGGCACTATTCAGACTGCCCATTCAATATTTACGCCCCCGTTGCTTCTTCTTCAATATGAATGTCATGGAGGTATAAATGGGGGGTGAAGTAATCCCAACTCTGAACTGCCAACGTAGACAGTTACAGGTATGTTTAGCACTGTCAACTGTTTATTCTTTGTATTTCATATTTTCTCCTTAAAGGGATACTTCACTCATTTGCATTAAGCTTTGTATCATTAGTAACCTGGTAGTATTTTTGAATGGTCGTGCATCCCGCTCTCATTTTCCCAAGATGGGAAATCTTTGTATTTCTGAGTCTGAAAAGGAGCTTCCAGTGACGCAAAAATCGTCATTTTGCATCATCAGAAGCTGTTGCGGTTCCAATCACAGATCAGTGGGTGGGAACTCACTCCCAGAATCGAAACTTAACGTCCGGCATATTGCTTGGAAGCTATGCTAACAGACTCTATGGAGAGAGCTGATAATGGCGAAAAAATATAAATATAGCGGCGAGAGGGTTGCTGCCGCCGCTGACCCCTAGCCACCTTTTTATTTTGGTTTGAATTGTTCCTCCACTACACAACAGTTAACGGTGGTGTTATTTCAGGTGATCTGCCCCATCATGTACTGCAGCATCGTGTACTGGATGACGGAGCAGCCCCCTGAGGTCAGTCGGTACCTGCTCTTCATCGCTCTGTCCATCTGCACTGCTCTGGTGGCCCAGTCTTTAGGCCTGCTGGTCGGAGCGGCCTCCACCTCTCTACAGGTACTGCAGCGTTGCATTAATTAAGTCGAGGATTTCTTTGCATGTGTTTTACAGACAAGACAAATGAATGCTGTGCCTCTGTGTGCAGGTAGCCACATTTGTTGGACCTGTCACAGCCATACCTGTGCTGCTGTTGTCTGGGTTCTTTGTGAACTTTGACACAATCCCCAAGTATCTGCAGTGGAGCTCCTATGTGTCGTATGTCAGGTAAATCAGCAAAGAATTGTTGTATAATTCATATTTATAACAAACTGGATTATATTTCAGCCCATATGTCCACTGTTACAATTCTCCCAGTATTATGTAGTGAGCACTAGAGAGAGATAATAATAATAATAATAATAATACATTTTGTTTATAAGAGCTTTTCAAAAATCAAAGACACTGTACATTTGTTAAAAAACAGAAAGCACCGCACAGTAAGGACAGACTAACAGACAACAACAATAGATACCCTGTCGCATCGCCCAGGATGGCATGCTCGCTGTCCACACTGCATCTATTAAATATTTACTATTTTGTTCTGTGAATTTCAGTTTCCCTTACAAACAGTACGACATGCGATGCAAGGTGGACAAACGTTAGTGTGGTGATTTTTATTGACGAGCTATTGACTCAATTCACAGCACTCAAAGTGCCTTGTCGAGCCCCCTTCCTCTCGTTCCTCGTCTATGTGACAGAAAGGAAAAATAGAAATTGGGCGTCGGGTTAAAAATGGCGTGTGGCTTCACATTGGTCTCTGGCAGCCGTTAAAACAATGACTTAGGAAACAACTGAATCAAGCTGATTTTGTCGCTGACGGTCACTCATGCCATATGCTGTTATGAAACGCGTAACACAAATCAACTCATCTGGGCAGAGTAGACCAGCAACTCCTGTTTTCTGCCAGGTGAAATCCCTGTGTTTGTCAAAGGAATGTGGTGACTTTGAAGAGACGTAACAGTTGTTTGGCTTCTTATATGTATCAGACTTCCCCCTTTAAAATAACTTGAAATTTATTATAATAGGATAAGCCCCTTGAGGTGTATCACCTCGTTTTCAAGGGGGTCCCAAAAATGTACAATTTCTTATTGAAAGACTGTTTTACTTCATTACAGATACTGCTCTGAAGAATCATTATGTTTGCTAAGTCTAAACTATTTTGGACTGCTAAGACATTTTAGCCTACAGTAGCTGTAAGTAGAATGAAACAGTTAGTACTCTGCAGTTTGATTTAAAAGATTTACTTGTCAACTAGTAATTATGAAAGCGTCTCAGAGTTTGCATCTCTTCCACAGGTACGGCTTTGAAGGGGTTATCCTGTCCATCTACGGGATGAACCGATCGGAGCTGGAGTGTCCCGGGAAGGTGTGCAAGTTCCAACAGCCCGAGGAGGTTCTGCAGCTACTGGATGTGGAAGATGCAAAGCTCTACATGGATTTCATCGTGCTGGGCATCTTCTTTGTCATTTTTCGGGTGGCCACCTACCTTGTCCTCCGCTACAAAGTCAAGTCTGAACGATAGGTTTTTGAATAGCTCCTCATCAAACTCTCAAGGGACTCCCTGACGTCATTCCAGACCTGGTCTTTTTTCTGTGCACCAAAAACAACCTCTCCTTTGTGGGCATCATTTCCTTTCGCTGCTAAAAGGACAGAACACGTTAAGACCTGTTCTACTGCTGCGGAGGGCAGTGACTGACGATGCAGAGCAGTGAGGAATCATCTCGTAAACCGACATGGACATGTTTTACCTCAGACGGCAGGACTTAAATCCTGCACACAAAGCCGTATATGCAGTGAGGAGGACAAAGAGACTGAGCCACTTTCAGCAGCTTTAACTGCACTTTTCATATTCCTGCAAGGCGGATGTGATGCAGTAGCACTTATTAGAGTGGAAGTGCATGTTTATCTTACACCATGCACCCCCATTCTGTCTGGATGTGAGAAATTCGGTGCACAAAACTGCCCCTTTGAGAAAAAGACTGTTTCTACTGATCTATTAGGGCTTGTGTCCACATGGTGTTGTTTTCTGACACAAAAGGACTGGAAGGTGAGGTTAAGAGAAATAAACCCAACACCGACCTTTTGTTTCTAACATAAGGCCAACAGCCTTTGTGAGATGAAACTATTATCCTTTGCCTTTTAGTATCGATCCTTCTTGTAATCTCAGCAACATATTAAGAAAAAGAGTGCTATTACTGAATAACCGCACGCTTGCGATTGGTCCTGCCATAGATCATCACAGCATATTCAGGACAACATTGAGACCTTCTGTTCTTAAAGCAGCATATGGAAACAATAAGCAACCTCAGATCTTAAATTTGTGTTAATTATCAATTAATCAGACTCCATCCACAAAGCTTACAAAGTGGAACAGGACTTTAGTTCTGCAACATGTACACGAGGGATGGTCCATACAGGTCCTTCCACAGAGCACTGAGTTGTAAACATACAAAAATGGCTAACACACAAATGTTTGTGTGGAAGAATGATGTGGAAGGGTTGATACTCCAAGTGATCCTACACTTCAAAGTGAGTTTCAAGGAAATGTGGACTAGGAGTTAGCAGCACAGAACTTGGGCCGTTGTTGTAGTCCACATCTACTTGTCCATGACTGTTACTGTAAAGTGCCTCGGTCAATCAATCAATCTTTATTTGTAGGGCGCCAATTCATAACAAATGTTATCTCGAGACACTTTACTGAAAGCAGGTAAAAGATCTTACTCTTTTACTCTTTTAGGGACAAGGGGGGGGGGGGATTCCATAGCAGCAGGCCATCCCCACAATCGATCCAGAGGAACCTTTCTCTGCATGTTGGTGAAGTCTCCATTTTCAGAGGAAATGTGTATTTCCAGTTTACTTGGTGCCACTTTCAAAAGTTTGCACTCTGGAAACTGTTTACAACACTTTCCGTTTTCAGGCACCAAAAACACTGCAGTCATGTAAATGAACAGAGAAGATAAACCAGCCAATAAAACGCTATTGTACAGTTGAAATCATTATTGTGTATTCGTGGCCTCAAACAGAACAAGCAGAACTATTTTTTTAGTTAGCAGACCATCAGCTTGTATGATTTGCCCCCCTCCCCTCCCTTCCCTCAAATAACCCAGCTCTGATGACACAAGCAGCTACTGAAAAGTTTCCTGATTTGCAGCTTAATGCCCTTTGAGTGAACATCACAGTGGGATTTGTGGTTTGGCCCAGTTGGAAGAGTGCACCACTCCATCAGGGGGCGACATCCCTGCACATCAGCCCCATGTTCCTCTGTGATTTGTGCTAGTCATCCCCTCTCTCTTTGCCATATTTTCCTTTTGCCCTTGAGCTGTCCTGTATGATGAAGCCAAATGCCTGAATTAACCCTTCGAGGAAAACATCACCATGTCACCGCAAGCTCTCAGTAGTCAAAGATGCCGAGGACAAACGTTTACACTGGAGAAGAAGTGTGATGTGCCTAAAAGAGTGAAAACTGGATAAAAGCAGCTTGTTTGTGTATGTCAATCAAATCATTGTTTGAGCTAGATTATTTTGTAACATGTTTGTAGTTTTAAATTAAGCTTCTGATTCTGTATGGATATTTGGTATTTTTTGTACATCCAAAAAAAAGAAATCTAAAATCTTGTGAATCTTAGTTGAAATGTGTCTGCCTTAATCATTTTATACCGTACTGTATTATCTTTAGTATTTTATGCATATGTTATTATAAAAAGGTATTTAAGCAAACTGCTACTGTATTATTTGTATTGTTCACAACCATTAATGCTCATTCCTGCAGTCATGTTTGGTGCTATATAAACTTTTGTTTATTTAAATTACTTTAAATAAAAATAAATGCTTCTGGACTGCACATTGAAAGGCTGCAGAGCACTTGGAGGACAACCAAAGAAAATGTATTTTAACTGGAAGTATGCTCACATTAACAATGTACTGACAGTCTTTGTGTTTTTGTTGTCGTTAGCGTCATTCACTCATGACTTTGTTAAATTACATCTTAACTTTGCTGTACAGCTATGTAAAGTGTCTGATATTTCAATAAACACTGATCACAATAGTGCTAATAAGTTATCGCTTTATTGTACCAGTCTGTTGAATATTTGATTCGAATTGGCTGTGAGGCTTCCATTGTTTCCCAATGATAGGAGACGCTCTTGACAGTTTTTTTTCCTGCCAGATATACAGTAGGTTTCAAAAACAAGATTTTATTATTTGAAGATACAGTGTGCCCTTCTTATACCAGTCTCATTAAAAATACATGTTTTCTTCGTTTTCAACAGTTGTAGCTGCTAACAGCAAACTTAGATGGCTGACAGTAGAATTAGATTAGCTAATGTGAGCTAGCCAGCAGAAGAAAATGTTGGACTGATTTTGAGTTTATGGAAGTGTATTGCATTCACGTGGGAAAATAAAAAATCTGCTATACATTTTTCGGAATTAGATATAACTATCTCAGAATTATGAGTCATGCTGGCTACACACAAGACCATTTTTCAAATCTAAACTGGGACCACAGAGATAAGGAAAAAAATGGATCATCAAAATATGTAACGCCATTGAGACACAAGTCTCAAGATCTTTCATGGATGAAAATGAGAAAGGGACACCTATCAGCTTGGCAGTGAAGTCTGAATCCATTTCACTATTTGCCCATGCTTTGTGGATTCCATGCTTTCTTTTTCTCTCATTTGCACAGGTTTAGCAAAAGCAGTGAAATCCTTCTGTGGTTCTGGCCCTAATTAAGAACAATGTATGGCTTATTCTCTACTGTGGATGCACGGGGGCAGCCATCTTGGATTTTGAGCTTGGGATACTGAAGTTCCTCTGAGTTTCAGATGACGTATCTTTAACCACATACTAACATACTGCCTACTAACCACACCGTTAGTATGCCGTCAGCAACATACTACACACCGGGTCATGCAGCATATTTCAGGTCTGAGCTATGTTGGAAAAGCTAGCATTAAGCTAATGCCAACATCAGCCTTGAAAATAGAATTCAACAACTATATACATTCATTTGTTGATTATACAGCTACATAGTGATTTTAGTATTATCTGACAACATATAAAACAGGGTTACCTTTATTTGTATGCTGCCTATACTCCACTCTGCCTCCTGCCAGCCACGCCCACCTCATCAGCCAACTCAACTCACCTGTGCACACAGCTGCTTCCCATCTGCAATCAAGTCAGTATAAAAGCCTCTTCTGACACTGCCAGAAGACTTTCCAGCACTTTCCCTTGGACTACCCGTTGCAGACCCTGTTTGACTCTTACCAGCCAGCCTTGTTTTTGTCACTCAGACCCCGACCACGAGTTCTGTTGGCCTCTCCCCTGGGCTGTTTGGCTTTCCTCACATCAGCTCCTACAGTGTGAGTTTTACCGTCTAGCTCTGATCTGATTTCTGTTGTTCAAAAACTCGCTGTCCGACACTGTGTGGATCTCTGGATTGTATCCGCTGGCTCTGCAACTTGCCTTCCACTTTTCCCGACTTAGTTCAGGAGCTTTAACAGCTCTTGCAGCTGTACCTGCTGAATTTATCCCTAAAAAAACATTATCATTGTGGCTTCCTGTGTGCTGCACATGGATTCCAACACCACCCATGACAGTTACTTTTAAGTGTGTAATTGACTATGAATCAATAAGCAGAGTGTTTTGCCAGGGGTAAGAAATATGAGACGGCTTTCTGACTCGCCAAATATGAATTAGATTACATGGATCTGTTGTGTTTACTGGGGAAGTGATCAATTTTTTTATCAAATAAAAACCCTTACAGGGTGCAAATGACTGTTGGCTCAGGTAAACCATCAAGTAAACAGAGACTGACAGAAATATTCAAAGTTTAATAAAATGTATTGATTCTCATTAAACAATCCACGAGCTTTTCATTCATGACCTTCACTCTTCAATCTGCATGGAAAGAAAATGGTGATTAATTGGCTCAAAGAAAACACGGTATACACGATTATCAATTCATTGTCTGAGTCAGGCCGTTAATATTGCTACACACAGAGCTCAAACTGTACTGTTCTGATAGGCTGCTTACTCTGTTTCCTGCTCTGACATCACTCTTGCACACAACGACCGAACACACACAGGCCTCTGTTCCCTCACTCACTCCACAACACCTCCACTACGCAGGTTACATATATTTGTATTTGCTATGCCTATAGACCTCCACGAGTTTGTGGCTTCTGCATTCTTAATCCGTGCATTGGTTAGGGACAGATACAGTGTACATAGACAAAGTGAAAACAGCCATCCAAAGCAAGTATCATAGTGTATGTAGCTGATGCTAATTTGCTAGATCCATCCCTAGAAGGGCTTTGATGTGAATAAAAGAAGAAAACAGTTCAGTTAAAAAGGGAAAAGAAGGGGTTTTAATTGTTACCTGTAGCACAGGGGTGCGCATACTCAAATTCAGCGCTGTAACCTGAAAGCAAAAGGAAAAATGAGCATGACAAAGTTTGAACAGATACAGTTGACGCTCCAACAGCAAATGTGTTTCATGTAGAAGACTTGATGTTGGACTTAAATCCGATCATATACTATAAAAAATGAAACTCTGTTGTGTACAGTGTGTACCACAGCGCCCTAATGAACACAGTGACACCTGATCAGAGGCAGTATGATTCATGCTAGAATACATTATAAGAATGGTGTTATATGTTAATTTCTATGAATGGAGACATGCTTCCTGGTTAATTACTACATCATGCACCATATTAATAAAACTCCTGCATTATGTGATGACCATCGCAATTTGTAATCGATTACAAAATTGGACAGACGATTACAAAATGTAATGTTACAAGAATTCATTGTTAAAGGCAGTTTCATCTATTCACACTGAGTGAAATCGGTCATCAAAGCTTATCATAGTTATTGACAGAAAGTATCCCTGTCATTGTTTTTTTCCCCCAGCCCCACCTGAATGGACAGCGGGATTCAGTGTGTGAGACTCACTTGGCTGGTAGTAGTCGTAGATCTTCACCAAAGCTGGCTTCAGGTTCCGCACTGGAAGCTTACGTTGGAGAATTAGAAAGTGGCGCGTGATTTGATTTTTCAGTAACTGTAGGAAGAAAAACAGATCAGTAACACATCTGGATCGGTGAGCATCTAGTCACGTTCCTCTGTGTGTTGTTTATCTTACCTCCCGTATATAAACGAGAATACGATCTCCAATATAGTCAAGACGTTCCACCAGCTCAGAGTCTCTGATCTGTGAGGAGACGACATATTACAGCTGCGGCCATTTTACACCAACGGGACACTCGGGAAGGGAATTACCAGTTATATTATAACTAGGATCTAGTCTTATGATTCTTTTTTAAATCTCCTTTTGTGATTATTAGGCATGCAACAATTCTCAATAAAATATTGAACCATTCGGTACGGCATCCATGGTTCAATACTGACTTGTGAATTGCGGTTTTAACAGTTTGGCATTTAACTAGTTTCTGCGCATTGTATTTCTCTCTAAATTGGCTCTGTCTGTGTGTGCCTGTGAGTCAGCGTGCAGGGATGAGGAAACCCTGGTCGCCAAGTGAGTTAATAGCCAATCACCACGCGCTTAAGTTTGGTGACGCTGACAACAACAAACACTGCGCAGTGTTTCCCACTTGTCCAGGTATATTAACGGCCTAACGGCCGCAAACGCCCTTTTTCCAAAAGCCTCTCTCCCTCATTATG